AAGTTCCTGCTTTTCAAAAGGTCCTTTCCACTGCAGGGTCATTTTATTGTTGTCTGTGGGTAGCAGAACCAAGATCTTCTGACCGACATTGAAATGTCAATCCTTGGCCATCTTGTCATGGAAGTGCTTCTGACTGCCTTGAGCTGCATACAAACTTTCTCAAGCAATTTGACAGGTCTTTTTCCAGTTGGTTTCCGAGGTCTAACAGTACTGGTATTTGTTCCTCACTTCTGACTTTTTCTCCTGTCCATAGTTTTTTCAATATCTGCAAATGACCTCCTATTGTTCTTCTGTACAGTAACTCAAAGGGTGAAAATTTTGTACTGGTTTGTGGGACTTCTTGGTAAGCAAATACTAATAACTGCAGGTATCTTTCCAAGTCATGTGGTCTCTACTTACTCATCTTCTTCAGCATGCTCTGCTCTTTAAGACTCCATTGACTCTTTCACAAAGCCCATTACATCTGTGGTTGTAAAGGATAGTAAAGAGCTACCTACTGCTGATAAGTCTGTACACCTCTTGCATTAGCTCTCTGTCACTCAAGACTTTTTTGGAAAGCCTACTCTGCAGAACACTTCCAGGAGGCCTTCTGGAACTCTCTTGGTCCCTATCTTTGATAATGCTATGGCTTCTTGGTAATGTGCCGCATAGTCAACTACTGTCAGCATATACTGGTTGCCTTTGTTAGATACAGGTGCTAGTGATCCGATCAAGTCCAGAGCTACTCTTCTGAATGGCTCTTCTATGAGAGGCATTTCACCCATTGGCATCTTTTCTACCTTCTTTCTAGGTACTGTCCTTTTAGAGATGTCAATGGAAGTTGCTGGGGATTCTATCTGCCATCTTCCTTGCTCCTAGATGTCCTCTAACAGTCAACTCATGTAAACCTGCTTTGGTCCTCTATTCTGTAAGTCCCTGTCCCCTTAGTCTTGTGCTCAACTTTCTCCCAGGCATTATCTCAATATTTCTGCTAGCTTGCTTTGTAAAAAGATGCGCATGCGTGCACACACCTGCATGTCTGTCTGAGTGTCTGTGATATATATTTGTAATATAAGGAACCTGTTCATTTCTATGCGGTGTTTCTCTAGCTTGCCTCATTATGCATGCACATGGATAAGTAATAATACCAAGGTCCATGGTCCACTTAGTACGGGTGCAAAATTTCAGGTTTCTAGGTTCTTTCCTCTTGGAGTTATGACAGTCAAACAGACACACCCTTTTGTTATTATAGATATATAATTACAAGTGCTATCTGCTTACCAGATTTCCTAAGAATTATGCTTGCATTGTGTGGCTTACTTTTATAAAAAGTATTTTCTTTTTATGTACTTTTCTGTAGTTCAAAAAGGGTCTTATTTAGTGTGATTGTTTTTTATTATGTGTACCTTTTGTGTATTATTGAGCAAGAGTTATTTTAGCATGCTTTAATGTAATTATAATTGTGGTGTTTAAGTAATTAATGGATACTTTCTTTTGTATATGCATATATTAAATGGTTTTCATTAGTCTACTCCCGCAACTTCATTTAAAGGAGGAAGGTATACTGTTAAGGTTATTTTTGATATGTAATTTTCTGTGTTAAAGATGTTTTGTATATGTTTATATGTACTTGTAATCTTTATTGGAGAGTTTCTTTTTTGTATCATCTATTTCAATGTGAAAAGTGTTTCTATGTATATATATAAATATATATATATATATATATGTGTGTGTGTGTGTGTGTGTGTGTATTAGGTGTTTTATTTTTGTATTATATACTAATCCTTATAAAGGGTTTTTCCACTGTATTTCTTTAGAATAAAAGGATATTGTTATGTGAATATACATGTCTTGAATTACTGAAAGTTTCCTTTTTATTATTATTTCATGATGTAGTGCATTACATTTTCTGTAGCGAAAGGGTTGTGTTGTGTAGTCCATGTTGCATGTAAATGTTTCCAGGAACAAGAGAAATTTGACATGCTTCTTTACCATATCAGAAATATATAGTGAACCAGTTTTAAAGTGAAATTTATTTTAAGTCTTAAGGACATACTTGAAACAAAGAAAGATCAAAAATGTGGTATACAAACATATCATGAGTTTTCTACTTTATTAATTTTACTCTTCATATATGGGCTTGGTCATTTTGACCAACCTTGTAATCATCATGTAACCATGAAAGTATACGTATTATAATTCTGAATTTAATAAGTGTGTCCTCATGAAATAAGGCAAGCTTTTGTAATAAGTATTTTAACTAAAGATTTTTCTGGGAATGTACTGTGTCATTCTGAGTGTGTGATGATTTTTTTATTAATAACAAAAATACCTTTTTTTATTTTACAGTTTTATATTTTATTTGCATAGCCACTAAAACCCCTTAAATGAAAACCTTTTTTTCCCCATAAGCTTTATATGTCATGTGTTATTTTGTCTACCCTAACGCTAACAGTATATGTTCTTAGTTAATTACACCAACCTTGTAACCACCACCTAAAAAAAATTTAAAATAAATCTAAATTACCATTTTTTCTTTCTAGAATGACTGCATATTGTGACAGACAATTATACACTATTTATTCATATAGCAAAACTAATAAACTTTCCATTTAGTTTTATTTCTATACAGTTGCATTTAGACTTTTTCATAGTTTGGCCAAAGCTGTTCATTAAGTGGGATAGCTTTATGTAAATAAAAAAAATCTAACTACACACTCACAAGCTAGCAACATACATGTGCTATAATGACCATTTTGTTTATTTAATTTTTTCTCTTAAGTTTCCTTATATAACCTAATATGTTTGCAGTTTGTATATTTTAGTTACTTTTATAACAATACATAAAAAATTTACATTAAAAACAATACATTTAGTATTAGTACTTACATCTTGAATCTTGTCTTTTTTTGCACCCATAAAAAGAATTCTTTGACATTTACTAGACCTATTATTTTTGTAATGAGAGTCTTATCACACAAAATGTATAAATATAAATATTAAATTCATAATACAAAATATTACCATGCACAAAAATATAATGTCCTAAAACTACTGTAATTTAACTGGCTTTCTAACTAAACTATAAATATGTTGAAATAATCCTGATGAATAAAAACAAATTTTTCAGAATCTGTGATCTGAATGCTCCTAGTCACCTATCCTTCAGTAACCTGGAATCTCTCTTTCTATTAATTATAAATAATCCAAAAGCACATGTCAAAGAGAATTGTTAACATTTTTTGAAAAACAGGTTGTACTTGGAGGTATGCAATTTGTGGGTTTCACTTTATTGCATACATCTCAGTAAAGAAAGAAGGTTAGAGGCTATAAATTTACATTTTAGCTAGGGGATGTCTAATATATAAATGTGTAGTTTGTTGGAACTTTACAAAATCATATAGGGGTGAAAAGAAAGTCTAAGATGGATAGTTTGGAGCAAAGAAGTGTCACTGATAATGAGAAGTAATGATTGAGAATTTATTTAAATATTCCTTTTGAAATTAAGAAATTAAAATATGTAACATTAAAATTCAACTTATAAATTCTGTGTTGTCTGCCTTTGTTCATTGTTGTTCTCTAAAGGTAACATCTGCTCTGCCCTTGGGAATATAGCTATAACACTGCATGTTGTGCAAAAATAGATGACAGCAGTGTCCTTCAATGATAGGGTAGATGATATCTAAGATTATGGCTTCCTCTATATTTAATTGGAACGACCAGGCATATGGGTAATTCTAGTTGCTGTTGATAAATCCAATGTTTCCAAAATATCTCAATGAATTATATTGATGAAAAGGCATCTCAAAGGAAGAATGTCAGTTAATCAATTTAATAATCCATTTGTAGGTGACCATCCAGTGTTCTAATGCATATATTCACACACTGTTTTTGTCTTTGATACAAATAAAGATTGTATTCATTTTTTATAGCTCATCGTGATCAGTCTGTGTATTTGTTTTTTAAACTCAGTTTAGCAAAAGTCAGGCTTATTTTACATTTATCCTGCTGATCCTCCTGTCATAAAGCAGACCTATCTAATACTCTTTGAGGAAATGAATAACCTGAGAATAAATACTACCTTGGCTAACATACCACTTCATAGTACCTTGTACAATAATTTATTATAGTCTCATGAAAGGATGAAACAGAAACATCTTTGGTGAATTGTTGAAACAAAATAATTATTAAATTCATGTAAAGAGTTATACTACATGCTATAGTCTTTTTTAGTGTATTAACAATAAACTGATGAAAAAGATCTGATAGTTATGCATGAATTATTTAATTTAGTTACTGATAAGCTTAAAAGATCATATAAAATCCTGAAATTTTCTAGATTCCAAAGTGTGGGAACCATAAATTTAAGTAATTTAATGTCCTTTAGTGGGATAGCAGTAAGGCTACAGAGTTACAGGGCTAAAATCTTGTGCTCAATTTCCCGTAATTGCCACAGCAAATAGCCCAATGTGGCTTTGATCTAAAACAAATCTAACCCTCTTCTTAAAAAAGATTACTTCACCAAACATCCAGAGAAAAAAATGTAAGTTGCTGACAACCATTTTCAAATCACAGTCAAACTTAAAAGACACTAATTTACTTGTTTTCTTTAGAGTTCAATCTAGTTCTGGCTTGATCATCATAACAAACATTAACCCATCACTCTGTATTCTTTATTTCTGAATTTGATAAAAATACATTATTAAAAACTTGGGGCATCTGCATACTGTCTAATGTTCTTTTTTTCAACTCATTACATTTTTAATGGTTAATATTATATATTTGTAGACTTGTTTTATTTTGAAGTGGAACTCTCAAAATACTTCCACACACACACCGCAACTCCTGTAAGATTTTCTGTTAACTTTTTCCTTTTCATTGTGTAAAATATTGCCTTAAAAAGTTTCTACAAAGAACATTTGAGAAATGCATTTCTTTTTCTTTTCTTTAAGGTAATTGAACTTAAGTTAAATTTCAGTTCATAGATTAATATGTTTAATTTTTAAAATTTTATTTTGTAGGGTATCACTTTAGTGTCCAATATGATTGATACATATGGTATAAAAGTTATTCAAGCCTACATGGGATATATTCAGGTAAATATTCTTTAGTCACAGTCCTAACAAAAAACATTTTTTAGTTCTTTTGCAATATTTTATTTCTTCAAAAAACTGTTAATGGTCTAACCATTCTGGTTACTATTTTTATATTAAGAATTATTTTGATTTCAAACTTTTATGTACTAAGGTTAATCAAGTATTATAAGAACAAAATATCAGGTCCAGTGCTGCCCTTGGAATTACTACTTACATTATTGATCATGCTCAATCTGAAATTCATATTGTAATCAGCTTCTATAAAAGATGATGAGGTCATTCTTAGATTACAAGTCTTGACAAATGTTCCACAAATCCTCCACTGTACAGGGAAGCTGACTTTCAAGACCATGTTCAAGCAGACAAAGAGCTGAAAAGTCCAGTGGAACTGTATCAGGGAGACTATGTGTTGAATGTGATTACTGTAATTCTAGTATATCTGGGCAATATTTCTTAAAACATAGATACTGATTTTGAGGATGTGCCTGGAATCTTGTCGGATTTGTCAACTTTAAATCTTTATCTCATTGTTTACTGTTTTGCTAATAGAAATAGGCAATATCTACCCAGATTCGTTGCAGTAGGTTTTTTGGGTTCAAAGATTAGCCTTTCATAGCCATAGCCTTCACTTTGAGGATGAGTGTTGGTCTGAAATGGGTTGAGGTGTTCTATGAATACTGAAGGTTTCCTTATTCAAAATCTTATGTCCTGTGGTTCTACATAATAGAAAAATCTTTCTTTATGATTATTTTACTACAGAAAGGTTTTTATACTACTCCAACCAGAACTTTTTCTGTGGTGGCATTGTTCTTTCTGATAAGAATTCACTTTGTATTCTTTATTTCTAACTTTGATAAATGTGCATTACTGAAATTTGCATATTGTACGGTGTTCTTCTTTTGACTCATCCTATTTTTATGGTTAATATTGTATATTTTTAGCTTGTTTTATTTTGAAGCACCACTTTTATAAAGTTATTTTTATATCAAATATTAGATTGATCACAAGTAAATACTTCTGTTCTATCAGAATTATTTAAAGTTCACTGTTACCCTTGGTATAATGAGTTAAATCTGTGGTGATATACCAATGTATTACCATATGTAGGCCATTCAGTTAAAGAACAATAAACCCTTTGTACTTATTGAACTGAACACACATATAACAGATTTCTCAGTTTGTTGTTATAAATTTAAAGATACAGGCTGTATATTAAAGTATAAAAACAACAAAAAGGATTTGCAACTATCCTTTTAATATCTATATTTTTTAACATAATGTAATTTTTACATAACTTTTGTAAAATTACATCACATGCTGTATATCATACAAATGATTAATTTAACACCATGTTCATTTTAGGCCAATGCAGAACTTGCAGTGAGGGACATGTTAAAACAGATTGGAAGAAATTTTAGCAATGAAAAGGATCATGTTGAACTGAGTTCTGAAGATTACATGGATGATGGCACTTTGATTAAGCTTCATCTTACTATACATACAAAAAAGGTTAATTTTTTATATCAAATATTATTATACTGCTCACAGGTAAATGTCCTTTCATAATTGATTATCATATCACATTTATTTAAAGCTCACTGTTATGTAAGGATGAAAATATTACAATATGAAAAAATTGAGAGATTATGTCTCTTAAATAAGTGAAACTTTCCATGAATCAAATTTTTGGAATCAAGTCATTAGCTAATTCATTAAGATTCTTTGTTGGGATGTATTTAGTGTTCATTTTATTTTGATTTGTGTCACTTGGTAAAACCACGTTTATATTTATAGCTTTATGATTCTGTTTTGTACCTATTTTAATATAATTATGGTGTAATTATAAATACTTATTTCACCAGTTACTTATACATTTTAAAATGTAAAGTTAATTTGGTAGCTTTGGTACTAATGGATATCAATTAAACTACAAAAAAAATATATAGTTCACTTTAGGTTTATTGCTACTAATCCGTCACAATAACACTGTTAGGCATACCAGTCACTGTTGATTAACTTACTGAACTCTAGTTGTGCTTCTTTTCATTAAATATTTTCTTTAAGTTGTTCACTTTTAAGAAGAACTAGGCCTTGGCTTGTTTCTAAATTTAGGAAAAGTATCAAGCACCATATCTTTCTTAAGACATTGACTATACAGTTGCCAATTCTGATTTAGTTATCATCTGGAAAAAGTATTGAAATTTATAATTTTATCATTATTAGTCGATTTCCCAAGTTTCATTAATTCAGTATGAAAATATTATGTTTTGTAATTAAAATTTTCAACATGAATTCATTCATAATCTTGACATTATACAGAGGTTAATTATATTACATTAAAATGATTTGGAGCTTCACCACATTGTTACAGTTGATGTGGTCATGCTCATTGTCATGCTATCCAGTAACCATACATCGTGACAGTTGCCCTGCAGTACAGTTTCCATTTCAAAAGGCTACATCATAAGATTGTCATATCTAAAAATAAAAAAATAAGCACACCCCTCCAACCTGATGACTTTCCTTAGGCCATTAGTGTGGTATGATGATGATGATGGCTTCCTAACGCCTGTTTCATCAGATGATTGTACAAAAATCCATATATGCTGTGTCCTATGACTTTATTAATATTTTTTTTATTGAATAACATGAATACCCATTTCATTCTCCAGCTTCTTGAAGTATGCAATGGTTGAATGGTTGTGTTGTGGAAGTAGTTTATGTGTAGGTGACTTGTGTCACTTTTACAGATGAATATATTGTTAATTATATTGCATACTGTTGCCTTGGACATGTGGATGTGTTTTATCACAGATCTTTGTGTTCTTGGATTCTCATCTTTTACAAGATACATCATTTTGCTTATCAAGATTGGCATAGGACTTGTTTCAGGTCTATTTCTGTATGATCCTGGTGTTCCAAGTTAATCCATATTTCCTTGTTTCCAATACCATTAAATACAAGGAAAGCCACATCTTGGAAATTTCAAATCCCTAATCTGAATGCATCTTTATGACCTAAGTGTATGAATATTTTGCATTGGAAAGGACTTTTGCATATCCTTCCTAAAAGCAATCAGTATTAACTGGTATCACATTACCTATGAAATACCAAAAAATATCAAAATGTATTTCTGATATGTGCCATTCCACCATGAATTTATACTGGTTTTAGTTGTCATGTAACTTGGTGATTTGCATATTCAAAGTTATTTTAATATAACATTCAACCCTGTACAAGAAGATCACTGACATGTTACTTGGGACACGTCTTTAAAAAGTTAGTGTATAAGACTGGAAGAAGTGTTTAGTTTGTTACTGTTTTCAGCTACTTATTTTCAGTAAAGCTACTTTACCTAATGAAGGTTGGAATGCATATCTAAAATCTAGTTGAATGCCTAATAAAACACAATTCTTTTTATATGACATCTTATCTGTTTTAAAAACAGTCTTAACAACTAAAATTATTCCTGTAATTCGAAATGTATTTATTGTTTCATGTTAAAAACTTAAGATATTTTGTTGTATTGTAATTTAAATATTAGGTCATAACTTCTAATAATTACATGTTGCACACTTGGCACATTTTAGATAATTAGAAGTCTGATTAGTTTGAGATAAGAAAAGTAATAAAGCAATTTGTTTTGTTAAATTGTATAATATTTAATAATTGAGTTATTAAAGCTGCATTATTTCTAATAAAATATCAAGTTCTTCTTTGAATTAAATATTTTACCACACTAGCATTTGGCCATCCAGCAGCCATTTTGAAATGAAAAAATAAAATCTTTAAAATTTAAAAACACCAATTACCAAGGTACACTACAAATGCTTTACTTTAACAGATAGGAGGTGGAAGATTTTAAATGTCTAGTGTTTTGTTTTTTTAAATATATATCATAAGTCAATCTAATTAAGAATGTAGCTCATAACAAGATATTACTGGAACGCTAATTCATACAGGATTTGGTCAAATTATTTCACTTTTAATAAAATTTAGTATTTTAACAACATATCAACATTATAGGTCAATGCTCTGTGAATCTTTCTAACCAACTTATGCTGTTTATATATAATTTATGATTTTCTTTGTGGTGTAATTAGAGTATTTTCATAACTTATTTTCACCAATTTATACTGTTGTTTTTGGTGTTTACCAACAGGTGTCTGATTTTTTTCAATTAAAATAATTTTTGTGTTAATACTCATAGGGCACTGCTGTTTTTGACTTTAGTGGAACCAGTCATGAAGTTTATGGGAACTGCAACACACCAACAGCAGTTACTTTATCAGCCATTATTTACTGCCTACGATGCCTTGTAGGACATGATGTGCCTTTAAATCAGGTTAAATATTATAGTTTTTAATCTTACATTTAGAAGAGTTTCTTGTGTGCTCTGAGGCATGACAGATCTTGTAATTAGTTGCAGGCTCATAGTATAATTTTTCATCAAGAATACACAAAAACATTGCATTGTAGAGAATGTAATCTTATATTGAATAAAAATTGATAACCTTATTTGTACTTGGAAGTGTAGCCATTGTATTGGTAGCTGTAATGTTTCCTTGAAGTACAAGATAAATTATAGACTTTCTCTCTCTCGAAAATAGATCTACTACATGACTGGGCATGGTACTATTAAAATATAATTCATAATCATAATCATATTCAGAATTACATCCATTATATTCAGGGTCCATGTAAGTTCCTGAAAACCTTGATATTATACATTTTACTGCAAGAATTATTGGTAAAATTGAACTCTATAAATTAACTCCATACTACTTATGTCTGTGTGTTGCACTCATATGATCATTATTAATCCTAAAGTGAAGAACTAACATACAAATACATTTGAATTAAAGTCGTTAGTACTATCAAAATATTTGTACAGAAAATTATCAAGCCTAAAGACAGCATAATGTGATATGACAGTCTTAAACTGAAAGCTGTGAAATTACTAAAGCATTTTAAATGCTGTTGCTAAAATTTAATTCAAAGTAATAAATAATGACTGGCAACTGCTATTGTGAAACTAAATTTTATAATAACAGAGTGTATAAAATATATAAGCTGATTGATCTATCTTGCTAACACTGATAATATGAAAACTAACATCAACTGTTGCTGTACAAGGTGTTGGAAGAAAAAATTCAATCATATGATGAATGTTAAATGGACATAATTAAAATTCTATGGTATCAGGTTTTTTTTAGTTATCAGATTTATTCTTTCCAAATGTTGTAAAACAAAACATGAAAAAAGGAGCATATGGTAAAGGATTTAAATATATTAATTGAACAATTTTTTGTCTATTTGAGAAGCCATATTATATGGAACCTAGTCAGTTTCTTGTTTAGCTGTTCACTATATTGGCATTCTTTATAGCATCAGTCTTGTCTGAAATTAGTATCATACCACCTATTATCCAAAAAACTAGAATTAATTTTGTCTGGTCTTAGATTTTTGATGTGTAGCTGTTGGTTTAAAAAAAAAAAAATTTGTTAAAAGAAATGACCTGTTTAAGTTTATTGTTTCGATAAGTGTACAAACCTTATATCTTGTAGAATGTGATCTTTTCTTTACTTAAACACCCAAATTTTTTGCTTGAAAATATGATCAGTGACTTGTGGAACATGACCTTCTTTTTAGTTGAACATTTATATTTTTCATTGGGAAATATGTTGATTGGATAGAGGAGTATCTCATTGTCTTAAAATAGGTAGACAATATTTTTTTTACTTTCACATCAGCAACTAGCTTCAAATAACAACTTTAATTTCCCAAGGCTTTACAGAGCATCAAGCAAAATTTATTGATGAAAAAAATTCTATAAGATGAACTAACAGAGTTGGAGTAACATGTTATTTAAATAATTCATTAGTGTAATAACATAATAATATTACTTTTTTTAATAATAATGTATTATATTTGATTTTTAATTGGGGTGATAATATTATAATTACTTTCTTTGAAAAAAAAACTTTGTTTCATTACCTTCTCTCCATTGTATACTTACATTAATGTTCTTTTCTTTTTTTAAAGCCAAAGTAAATGTCAGTTTATAAAATTTTAACAACTGAAATATGATAAATATGATTTTCTTTTATATTCCTGTCAAGATTCATTTCAGAGAAAGAGCAGCTCGTAAAATGGCTTGATTGACTCTAAGGTCTTAGTTTTAATTTATCTGGCTAATTGCATGCATGCACACAGTTTTAGCTGTTTGAATCCAGAGCATAAAAAAGGCATGACAAAGATCCTGATTAGTAGATAAACAGCTTCTTATTATTAACCTCATTAAACTAGAAATAGCATTAAAATATCAGTTAGTAAATGATTAAAAAACTGCTTTTGTAATTATGACAACCTACTTTAAAAAGTTATTCCTTATGCATAAATTGGGAAGACTTGCATAGATTTTCATCTACAAAGTCATCTGTATTCTAATGATTACATTTTATCATTTGTAATATCCAATAAAAGATTGTTTGCTATACACAAAACTGTTAAAATCATGTTGATATAAATTTAAGAAATTGATTTTCAGATTTAGATTTAATAAGGAATAGTCACAACATTGTTTCACAGGACAAGAGAAAGAAATGTAATGAGTAATATGTTTTTATTTTTATTAACTAATATGTAAGGACATTATATTAGTTTTTTTCTGAATAAATCATTTATGAGTTACCTTTTTCAGTAACATGCCCAACACTGGAAACTAATTACATTAACTAATTCTGAAAAATTACCTGTTTTATTTATACAGGGATGTCTAGCTCCTGTTAAGATAGTTATTCCTGAAGGTTCTATACTTAGTCCATATAAAGATGCAGCTGTAGTTGGAGGGAATGTTCTGACATCTCAGCGTATTGTGGATGTTGTTCTCAAAGCATTTGGAGCTTGTGCTGCCTCTCAGGTATACCTCCATTCTATTAATGAGGGGATCTTCTTATAATTACTTTTTAAAAGTCAATTCTAGCAGTATGTTTATTAAGAAAAAATGTAACTTGGCAGTAAAGAAAGTTGGTGGTCATACCTTTTAACAACTTGTACAACTTAGTTATATCTTAGTTATAAAAACAATGAAATTATAATTGGTTTTGGACATTCTGTTATTGAGAATTATATATTATGTTTTCAAATGATACTTGAAAGGCAAAATATTTTCTTTTCTGTCAAGAAGTTAGAGAAAATAATAACAAAGGTTATCTCACTAATGGAATGAGTGCAACGTATAGCAATTGACTGTATGGAAAAATGGGAATGGTAATGTGTTTACTTTGTGATTCATATGTTTAATGCATGTGTATGATGTACAAGCCACCAAATAAAATATAAAATTAAAAATAAGCTAAACAGTAGAAAGTTTCATTTCAATTGTAGTGAATGCTGATGAGAGGAAGAGAAAATAACAGATGCTCCCTAGTGGCACAGTGATATGTCTGTGAACTTCTAATGCTAGAAACCCGGGTTTCGATACCTACGGTGGGCAGAGCACAGATAGTCCTTTGTGTAGTTTTGTGCTTAACTACAAACAAATAAAAATAACAGATAAAATATAAACTTTACCTTAAAAATCTTTTGATATTAATTTATGAGGCTCTAAATATTATGAAAATTAAATACAAAGACTGTAAGATGAAAGTATTTTTATTCTCATCAATGAAAATCATCTTGCACTCATGCTATTCAGACTCAGTCAGACTGATTCCTTAAATCATTAAATGCACACAAAAGTTTTAGTGAAAATTATTCAAAAATCCAATTCTTTGTATGCAACAGACTTATAATGTTTACTAAATGTTTGCCATATTTTGTGAAGATAAACTTAGTGAATTTGTAATTATAGTAAACATTGCTATATATAGCTACAAACACAAAAACAGGGGTGGGTGTTCAGTACCAGCACCATCTCAGTACGGTTAATTCCCAATTCATTTAGTATTTTAAGATAGATAAGTCTATGATATTTCAGCCCTACGTATACAGTGCCTTGCAAAAGTATTCAACCCCCTACCAATAATGCCACATTTTGATTAAATACAAATAATGTAAACAATTATTCTAATGAACTTGTTTTTATTAAAAACTCTAATGATCAAACTTAACACTGTTATGTTTGAAGAAGGATGGATGCTAGCAAAAACTGCAAAGAAAATATATAAATTGAAATTTTCTTATTGCAATAGTATTCAGCCTCCTAAGTTAGTAGTTGATGGAAGCATCTTTGGCAGCAATTACTATTGTGAGTCTTATTGGATAGGCTTCTACCAGCTTTGCACAGTGGGGTGGTCTAATATTTGCTCATTTTTCCTGGCAAAATTGCTCCAATTCTGACAAGTTCATTGGGGATCTTTGATGGACTGCAATCTTCAAGTCACACCATATATGTTCCATTGGATTCAAGTCAGGACTTTCACTGTGCCACTCCAGAACATTCAATTTCTTCTTTTAAAACCACTTCAATGTGGCTTTGGCCTTGTGCTTTGGGTCATTGTCCTGTTGAAATGGGAATTTTCAACCCAGTTTTACATTCTTGGCTGATGCCAGCAGGTTTTCCTTTAGGTTTTGCATGTACTTTGCACCATTTTTCTTCCCTTTAATCCTGACAAGTTTCCCAGTTCCTGCTGATGAGAAACATCCCCATAACATGATGCTACCACTAACATGCTTGACAGTTGGGATGGTGTTGACTGGATGATGTGCTATATTGGGCTTGCTCCAGACATAATGCTTTGAATTTAGACCAAAAAGCTCAATTTTTGTCTCATTTGACCACAAAACCTTCTACCATATGTCTGCAGTATCATTTACATGCTTTGTCGCAAACTCCATATGAGATTTAAGATGATTCTTTTTCCATAATGGCTTCTTTCTTGCCACTTGCTCATGCAAGCCAGCTTTGTGTAGGGACTGGATATTGTCGATGTATGAATACTGACTCTCATCTCAGTCATGGAACTTTGCAGATCTTCCAAAAGGCATTAATGGCTTCACAGTGGCATCCCTAACCAGTTTCCAGCTTGCCCGGCTGCTTATTTTGGAAGAACGGCATGGTATGAAGCACAGTCGACTTCTTAATGATGGACTTTACCATACTCAAAGGGATAATAAGTGACTTTGAAATTTTTTTGTAACCTTCTCCTGATCTGTGCTTCTCTACCATTTTATTCCTGAAATCAAGTTAAACCACTTTGATTACATACATACAGAGACTATTACACTAATCTTGTGACCTTTCAAACTAATCTGTTGCACCTGAACTGATTTAGGGTTGCTGTAGCAAAGGGGTTGAATACTTATGCAATTTTAATTTTCTTTGAAAATCTAACTTACTTACATAATATCAGCATTTTTTAGCTTTCTAAGTTTGAAGTATATTGTGTATGTTCTAAATATAATGTCCCATTTGAAAGTTTCATGATTGCAAGCTCAGATGGCAACAAAATTTGGAAATTTTGCAGGGGAGGGTGAATACTTTTGCAAGGCACTGTACTCTGATGAATCTAACAGAGAAGTTGGCAGAGGAAAACAAAATCATCTTCAATTCAATATCTTACTTTTGGAAGTCGCCATTTTGAGAAATAAAAATTATTTTACAGCTGACCGGTAAAAGCTATTAAAAATCATCTATAAAGACTTACTTCTGAGACAATAACTTGCCTCCATACACTCTCATTCTATTTACCTCATATGCATGCCTATGAGATTTGCATGCCACTAGCCTTCAATTAACTTTTACTTAAATTCACATGTGTGACATGACCTGCACTGGTACATGATGAATGTCATGCTACCAATAGTAGGAGGGCATCACAACCTCTATGCACAATACC